AAAGCTTACACTCTTTATTATATTTTTTTTCCTTTTTCTTTGCACTTTTTTTTACTCCTTTTTATTCTTTTTAGTTTGTATTAGATTTGACTATTATAATCAAAATTCTTAATAAAAATTATATATTTTTTTAAAATGTGCATAACTTAGTGGAGGAAAAACACTATCAAGTGGTTGACCCATTGTGCTGGGCTCTGGTGTGTATACTATGATTTAACAATGGTTTAAATTGTAATTTAAATTGACTGGGTTGTTCCTATGTTGCACTAACTCAACATCTGGTGGAATAATGCTATAATATAGTGCACATCTGAACATATTCAGAATGGCTAGGTTTGCATATTAAGCCATAACATGATTTGTCCAGTTTCATATTAAATGCAGTCATTGTGGGTTTGTAAACCATAGCTAAACCATAGTATACACACCAGAGAATTAAATGTGTGAGTTCTATACAGCTGGAAATCGCCAGTTTAGTCTGGCCTCTACCATGGCCTGATACAACACTGAGCATATTTACTAGGGAACAAACTCTCCAAGGCTACAATGCTTTCTTGAAAGAAAGACCCATTAAAATCAATAGAAATTGTTTCTCACGCTGTTGCACTCCATTGCTTCGTACAGGTCTTCTACACAGATATCATCCTGACTGAATGTCGTAGTTCTTATCCACAGGGAACCGGGCCCACCTTGAAACGATGGCAGATGCCACCCTAAATAGCTTCAGAAAAGCAATTTGTCTCAACGCCATGTTACGTGGAATAATGACAAATAAAAGCCTATTATTTTATTGCCATCGTTAGGGAAAGATTTTGAACGCTAGAAATAGCAAACATCCTACTATGCGAAGTAGTTCTGGATGGGACGGGGTGGGTGGAAAGAGCCATTACTCAATTAATTCTAAAAGCGCGGATAAAGGGAAGTCACCGAAGAGCAAAACACGCTTCAGAGCGCCTGCACCGACCTCCCACTCGTCGTAACAAGAAAGGAGAGGAAGATTGCTCCAGCTGTTTTGAACCAATCAGAGGCGGCGGGGGGCGGCAGCTACCGTGTGCTTAGCCAATGGGCAGAGTCGTCGCGAATGTTGCAGGTTGTTTCGGTCCGCTGCTGAGTGAGGAAGGGGTGAGGACAGGTCAGTTCGGTGGCAGGTCCAGAGCCGGGAAAGCGGAGGGGATTCAGAGAGGCGGGTTGCTCGGGGACCTGCTGGGCAGCTGGTGGTGCTTGTGGCGTGGAGGAGGGCCCGACCAGGCGAAAGGAAGGAGGCTGGTGGTTTCTTGGATCAAGTGGTCTGTGGTCGGGAATAGCGTGGGATAAGCGGGGAACCGGGGATCGAGGAGAGGGGTCGTGGGGTTGAGTCGGGTCCGTTTGCGCTGAATCAGCGAGCAGTGTGTGTTCAATATCGGGATCTGCAAGGAAATCATAACATGGGAGAGAGATCTTGATCGCGCTCTCGCCGTGAGGAATTGGCCTAATCCAGCGTGGCTCTTTCTTCCTTAAAAAGAAAGCAATATTTTGGCAAGTTGGTCTCTCATCTTCTTGAGCCTGAAGGTTCGAGAAAAGGTGGGGAAAGTCGGCCGACTGGATTAATGGCTTTCCCCCCACTTCTGAGTTATAGCCACTCACCCTCCACAGAAGACTAAACTTCATGAAATGTGTTGTCCCCTTTACTAATCCCTGCCCTGCCTCTGTTGCCTCTTTTTCAGGTCACTACAGTCGTCTGGCTTTTCTCTATGGTAATGGGCAACAAGGCCAAACAGATTTATATGCCCCAAGGTTGCCCTTGGACAGGGTCAGAATAAGGGAGAAATGTTGCTGACATCAGGCTGTCTCATACAGGGGCCTGGAATTAGATGAGGGCAGTGTCACGGAAGCAGTTATTTGGACTTGTCTGCACAATTGCTTGGGTTTCCTTTAGGACGGCAAAGTGCAGCTAAGAAAGTCTTGCAAAGGTGCAGTTCTACTCTTTAAGGTAACCTGTGGTCCACTGGATGCTTCTGAACTACAATTTCCAGAGTTCCTCACCTTTAGTCTTGCTGACTGGGGCTATTGGGAGTTGCAGTTTAGAAGAATCCAGAGGACCGTGGTTCTCCCCTTCCTTCCTGCTTTCTAGGTAACTCTTGTTTGCATTGTATTTGTTGTGCAGTCTGTAGGAATGCTTCTGGATGTGCTTTTGTCATATTAGCAGTTGAGCTAGCTGAAGCACTTTGGTATTTGGATGCTAGAAATAGCAAACACCCTGCTGTGCAAAGTAGTTCTGGATGGGATGAGGGGGAAGAGCTGTTACTCAATTAATTCTAAAAGCATGGATAAAGCAAAGTCACTGAAGACCAAAACACGCTTCAAAGTGCCTGCACTGGCCTTCCTCTTATCATAACAAGAAAAAATAGGAAGGTTGCTCCAGCTCTTTGGGTTTGGAAATGCATAGCCAAAAAGAATTCATTCTTTGTTACGGTACACTTTACCTTGAGATAGAACACTTGTTCTGGAACTGTGCAGAGCTCATGGAGTCTCTGTGGCAGTTTTATCTAGCTGCAGCAATGTGAAATTGAGGGTTGCAGTTCCTTTTCATTTTGTTTCTAATTCTGAAACTTTTCTTTGTTTTAGATTTCTCTAAGCTGCTGCTCTGAGATAGTGTTTTTCTCCTCTATCTCTCCCCTGCAAAAGTAGATAATATCTTTTATTTAAGCTATTTTCTTCAGCCTAAAATGTTGAATGCAACTTATAAGAAATATTGGGGATTGTGCTGCTAATCAGTTGTGACTGGAATAATTTCCAGAAGAAAACATGAGTAAGAAAGGCAATTCAACAAGGAACAAGAAACCCCTATGAAAAAAGAAATATTACAGTAAAATATCACAGGATAATAAACTGGGCACACATTCTAGGAGGAAGTACAGTTATACCTCAGTAGAAAGAGATTTGTGACATTTGTGCTACTCTTAAAGAGCTATAGGTCATTGCCAGGATATAAATATGATTGTTTGAAATTGCATACTTATCTTATTCAGTGAGAAATTTGTCATATTTTGCAACTTTAGTTTTTTTCTGAAAGGACAACTTCTTAAAGCATGGTTCATAAAACATGATAAACCATAATGTGATTTGTTTAGTTTTGCTTTAGTAAGAAATCATTGTTGAGCAAACCATGGCTTTGTATGATGGCTGAACAGAATGTAAAACTGGATGGTGTTCCGTACTTGCAAGCTACTCATCAGTCTCTGATTTTAAAGAGATTTAATTTTAAGAAAGATATTTTATTTATTTATTTATTAAATTTGTAAGCCGCCCATCTCCCCCAGCGGGTGACACTACTCATTTTGACTACTATCTAATGCACACATCCTGGTAAACAATTTCTGTTCCAGCGAAAGCAATATCTGGGCCAAGGGTTATTTCCCTTCCTCATTCCTGTATGCCAGTTGATGTCATGGGGGGGGCAGATGTTCTGTCTCCTTTCACAGATGACATTCAGCTGCTATGGAAGAATTGCTTCAAGGTGTCTGGAGCACCTTGAAGTGCTTCCTTCCTGGGTGGTGCTGTGGAAGGCATTCCCCACTGAGAATACCTTGAAGTACCATTTACCAGTGAAACTAGGGAGTGCTTTCCCCAAAAGATGAATTCACCTTCCTGGCTTTTTTGGGGGGGGAAACACTTGGAATAAACAAAACTGGAATCTCTGCTCACAGGTGGGAGTTCTTTCAAGGACCCACTCAGAGCTGGTTTTCCAAAAGGGAAAATGCAGGAGCAAGGAACATAGGATTTCTCTCTGGATGGATGGAAAGAGTAGGGCTTAAAGATGGGATAAAACCTTGTTCCTGGAAGCCTCTCTGTAAATAGGTATAGGAATGTGTCTATCTGTAATAGAAGGAATAATCTTGAGGAACAGGAGAAAGAGCTGTAACCGAGACAACGATCAGATAAAAGAAATCTAAGTCAGGGGCAGAAATGTAATTTGAAAAAGTCTCAGACATAACGCTCCCTAGTTCTAGTGAAGATACTGTAAAGGGGGAGGGAGCACATTCAGACTTGCAAGATTCTGTTACCATAACCTTATAATAAAAATATTATTAGCTTGCGTGTCTTTGGTTTCCAAGTTTGGTCTACCTTGGAGGGCTGACACTATCACTGTAGTTCTCATACTAACGTTTATAGGCTTTATAAACAGCTATAGAATGTTGGAGAAAACAAACATTTTGCAGGTTGAAGTGTAAGGGAATTCTATGATATTCCATGCCATTTCTACTCATTAACTTAATTTGTATGAAATAAATGTCTAATTAATGCTTTCTTTGGCTCAGTTTCAGAAGATGGAAGCCTTTAACAACTGTACTGGACTGGGTGGAGATTTGGAAGTGCAAAACTCCAGGAGTGAACATTTCCTCTATTTCGCCTATGGCAGTAACTTGTTGCAGGAAAGAATAATGTTAAGAAACCCATCTGTGGTTTTCCTTGCCCTAGCACAACTACTGGTTTGTACTATCTTTGTCTCTTTTTCTAGAAACTAATATTACAGGTAGTTCCTGGGTTACAAATGCCCGGGTTACAGATAATCCATAGGTAAGAATGGAGCCTACTGTAGCAAAATTTGAGTTAAATACACAATGATTTGAGTTAAATAT